GTGTATACGTGTAATCGCTAGGGTAGCTTTGTATTGTTACGTAATCTGAATTTTCGAGAAACTCTCCACACGCCTATGAATATAACCAATGCGACGCGCCTAAAAAGAGTATATATTATTGGTTTGCTATAATTGGTGTGCTATATGCGTCGGAAGCTATAACTGTGATTGTTATAACGCTTATTAATCGGGACACTTCAGAAATTTGACCAGGAACATTTATAAATTTCGAACATTACAAACCATTTAACTTCAGTGGATTCACATCGGACATTAGTACCTTTACGAAGACATTATATAACTTCAGCGGTAAAAGAAACTCGACCTGTAATCGGCGTGTGATCAGCGAGAACTATAGAGCTAGCTATCTTCCTATGAAGTGAATTGTAACTACATCAACTCGAAATTAACTCGCTCATCGTGAACCCTCGATAAGATATCAAGGAAGTTTCAGACTAGAAGGAAAACTATATATTGCTTTGTAAGTTTGCAAAACTTTTATATATAAATCATTGTTTGTAATAATTATATGTAGTAACTGTTATTGTAAATTGTATTATTGGTTCTATATTAAAATATATTTCTATTAAAAAGGAAGAAAATGTGTGTATCAATCTTGTTGGTAAATGTCATAAATTGGATACATATCTGCATTTATTTAACTACTAAATTTAAATTATCGTTTAGCTCGGTTTCAGACCATTCGAAATTGTAATACGTAACGTAATAATTTAAAAACACAAAACAAGTAACAACGTTTCGATCTTGTTACTTGTTTTGTGTTTTAAATAAAAGTTTTTAATACCCATATCAGCCGTCTCTACTACATATTTACTTAACATGGGTTCCTCGGCATTGTGAATTGTTGTTTACATTTTTTATTATTTAAATTTACTTTTAATTTCTTGTTTGAACACTGGTGTACATATTTATACATATTTGTCATATTTCTTGAATTGTCAATGGCATCAGATGCTTTCGAGCTTAAGAAATGGGTAGCGTTCAAACATGTTTCAACTTGTCCATTGTACTGAGACGTTTGTTCTGTGGCGGTAATTCCCTGTTTGAAAGTACACAACAGTGCTGCAACTTGGTGGGTGTATTCATAGTAGCTTCTACTTGTATTCCAACAGATCCCGAGTTTGTCGGATTAAAAACATCTGTATTTTATATTTGAAAACCGAATAAAGTATTCGTGGACTTCCTTCTTATAAGTAAAAATAGATGGCGTAGCTTTTACCTCAAGTTTAGATTCACACTATTACTTGTTGCAAAGCTATTAATACCACAAAAAACAAAATACAAACCCGGTGTATTGGATGTTCATTTCAGGATCTTACACAGTCCAGGGTGCTTGTTTCATGATGAGTTCGGTGTATTTTCGTATAAACTTCTGTGTATACTTAGGAATGAAACCTAATTAGCAGTTTTTGTACGTAAAATGTATACGAAATTACTCATTTATTATTAAGTTTAAATCTTCAAAGCTACGTTTGCAGATGTAAGGTAGACAAACTATTCCATCTGCGTAGAAAACGCGAGATTAATCTACGTTGGTCTTTTTATGTTACCACATAATATATAGAATTAATTTTGCTATGTCAGGTGTGACTGGCTGAATTGGGTGTTTATTTATTCAGGGCTTTAGTTAAACAGATGTACTAGCTTGAGTGAGCAAAACAGTTTTCTTCAGCACGCGCTGCTACTTGTTTTACTCCAGAAAGACAGCTACGTCTCAACCTGACCAGTTAACATTAAATATGGGGGTGGACCTGAAAATATGTTACTGGTAGCAAATTCAAGTCCTAAACTAAAAGATTATGAACATCAAAAAATATA